ACCAAGTTTCAAGGTCCCATTTCTTCTCAATCAATGTCCTCACTTTAAAATGAGACATCATTTGAGGAGATGAATTCAGTTGACATTGTAATTCAGCCGCTCTTATGGTAAGACCCGGGGTTTAGTTTTCGATCATAGTTAGCTCTGTTATATTAGAGAAAATATGACTGTTTCAGAGCACACATAGAAACTTTGAAATCTTTTATGCGGTGCTTGAACTGTAACTGCAGAGCCCCGAGCTCACCTCCTTCCTTTGCCACTTTATCTACTGAAGTAGCATCAACCACTCACATTCCCTCTACTTCTCACCTTGACAAAATTACTGAAGGGCATCAAGCACATGATCACCCAGAGCCTTACTTTTTACCAACCCTTCATCTTTTAGTGGTGATATTTCACCTATTCACATTGCCAGCACACGCTATGGATTAACAAGTGCCCTCTTTGGTAATAATTTTGATCTTACTTAAAAGACGGATCGAAAGATCAGCTCTTTCAGCTAACTAATGTCCACACACCCCTTTGGTATCCATTGAGCCGAAAGCTTGCTGAGGTCAAGATGTTCACTTAGAATTGAAAATGCCAAACCATGCAAGATGCCAAGGCCAGTAGCTCTTACATCAATGGGAACTGGACACTATTCTTCTCCGTTTCGGGACTTCATTCATTTAGAGCAACAAGGATAAAGCTCTTGTAACTCAATAGATTCTTTCGTGCTCATCTTTGAAGCCTCCCCACTGTCCTTCACACACCTGATTCCTTCCAAAACTGTTAGTTTACATGGGTCTGTTTTCCTGTAATCGTGTTGCAAAGCTTAAATGATTTGGGAAGATGACCACTTGAATTTGTGATATATTGATATATTCGTCCTAACCTCAGAGTAGCTCTCCCCACTCCCCGTGGCACAAAAATATCCCTTTTCTAATAAGCATCCCAATGAGACAAGTATATGACGGAAAGAACTTGTCTGAAGCAAAGACATGTTTAAACACATTTTATTGAGAATAAACCCATGCGTATACGAAATGGGACCCAAGTGGTAATATGTTCTTCTACTTACCCACCTTTAACTGAAGGAGCCCTGGGGACATACGTAGTGGTCATGCTCTGGGCTTCCCTCCTTGGGAATTCCAGTCCCATAAAGAATTCCAGTCTCAGGAACTCAAGGGGGACAGTTCCACCCTGTCCTACAGGATCGCTATGAATCAGCATCAACTCAACGGCAGTAAGTGTGGTTTGGGTTTGGTTTTGTAGAACTTCTTATTTATGTTATCCCTCAGTATGCATGTAACACAGAGACTAGTGGTGTGCTGGTTAAAGTGCTTCACTATGAACTGAAAGGTCAGGGTTTAAAATCACCAGCAGTTCTGTGGGGACAGGGGTATGTAGTATTAAATTAAAAAATAAATTGACGCTGAGGGAGGTGGAGGGGACCCTCCCCACCCGCTGCTACTTCTACGAGTTCAGTAATACTACTTCTGGGTTCAGTAATGCACAATTGTACGGTTGAGATATATAAGTATTATATTAAAGTCATCGAGAGCATGAGAGATAATACAATAATACAGTCAGGCATGATACATAGCAACATTGCTCACCTCAGCCCAGCTTGGTGGTCCACGTGGAGAGAGGGGGAAGGGAAGTAGGGGAAGGGAACAAGGGAGAGGGGAGTGACCAGGGAGTGAGCAGCAAGGAGCTCAGAGTCAGAGGGACAAGTCCTGCTGACTCACACCTATATACCTTTTGGGGGCAATCCAGCCCACTAATTACAGGTAAAGACATACGTCACAGGAAGGGGCTGCACTATAGGTTACACAGCAATGAGTGGGTGGTCTAGGGGTTGGTCTCTGGGTCTCCATAGGAACATTATCAGTAGGGTGCAAACCCCTCCTACAGGAGCCTGTCCATTGTCCCCAGAGGCAGGGAGCAGGCCCACCCCTGTGGAGGGATGAGACAGCAGTCTGGCAACTGATTCCCTCAGGGGAGGGAATGCCTGCATCTGACCTCCCCCCACAGGGGTAGGGTGGGAAGGCTTGGCAATCTGTTCCCATAAAGATTACAGCCTAGGAAACTCTAGGGGGCCATTCTACTCTACCCTATAGAGTTGCTACGAATCAGAATCAGTTTAATGGCATACAACAACACACACGTGACAGTCGCAAAATAACAACATCAACACTGGTCTTTGGTGCCTTGGGTTGGTTCTAACCCAAAGCAACCCTAGATAAAGCCAAAGGAAACTTAACCAGAGCCCTGGTTACTATTCTTGAGCTTATCATTGCTGCCACTGTGCTAATCCATCTTGTTGAGGGTCTTGCTCCTGGTTCTTGCTGAACCTCTCCTTCTATACCTCCAGCTGATAACAGATCGAAGGTATGTGAGACGGAGTTTCGCCCCCCTTGCTTCTAAGGAGCATTCTGACTGCACTTCGTCCCAGACAGATTTGTTCCGTGGTGTATTCACCATCCTGCACCAACACCGTAATTCAACGTCATCCATTTTTCTTCAGGCTTTCTTACATTTTGCCCAACTTTTGCATACATGGGGGGCAACGGAACATCCTACGACTTGCGGAAGGCCCACCTTCATCCTCCAATCGACATCTTTGCCTTTTCGTATTTTAAAGAGGTCTTTTGTAGCATGTGTGCAAGATCAACACCGTCGTCCGCCACATAATTCCTGAAAATTGTTCAAGATTTCTTTACCTCTTTCCTTTTGCTTCCTATCCTTTCCCCCCTTTGCTTTTCCGTAACAGGCACTTTGTTCTGTGTACCGCACTAAGGTGTACCTTCGCGTTTCTCTGCTGTAAGGTCACCAGGAATACTTTTGCCTCTCTGTGCTTATGTCACCAATTAGATAGTTCGGCTCTTTTCTTTTTCTTATTTGCTTTAGCCACGACCCTTTGGACAAAAAACTTTAATAATTTTATTATAGGTATATAACCTGTTTACATAACTCCAAAATCATATCTTCAAAACAAGGTATATTCAGAGAAATCAATTTTAATCCTTGTCTCTGTACCTTCTTCTTCTTCTCTCCCTACAGGCGACTTAAAATTAAATATTATGACTTACCATTCTTTTTTGCAAAAAAAAAGGAGGGGAAGGCTATAAATGGGACTTCTAAAAATTCCTGGAATCATCGAATTAAAAGCTAAAAATTAAAATATAAGTTTTATTTCTCATCATCAGCTCTACCAATGTAGCCAATGATACCAGCTATTTAGTCCATAGCTAAAGAACCGAGGGTCCTAGAAATTTAACCGTGGCAACGCAGGCTGCATGACATTGTTAGCTGAAGAAAAGCGGGTACCCTTTACATATATATTTTTTAAGAATGGGAACAAAAGGAAGTCAGAAGGAGTCACATCAGAACCGAAGGTTGATGCCGATGATGTCCCTAGTTGCCCTTGTTAGTTGAGAAGAGTGAGCAGGGTATGGGCATCACATAGTGGAGAAGGATTCTCTGGTGAAGCGTTCTCGGGAGGTTTGCTACCAAAGCTTTGACCAGCTTCCACAAAGCACTCCAAAGAAGCAGGTGTTATGGTGCTTCGAGCTCCAGAAAGTCAACAAACGTCGCAAGTCTCCTTAAGATTGTCTTCCTGGCCTTTGCTCTTGCCGGGTCTGCCTTTGCTTTGGCTAGATCGCTTCCCCCTCTTGGGAACCGTTGTTTTGATCATGATCACAGTGGTAAAGCTATGTTGCATCTCCTGTTACCATCCTGCCAAAACATGCTTCAGGATCTCGACCCCCACGTGTTAAAATTTCCGTTGAAAGCTTTGCTCTTGGGTGCAACTGATCTGGGCACAAGAGTTCCGGTCCCATCAAGCAAAAAAGTTTGCCCACCTTTAATTTTTTCCGACAGTGTCGTGTCAGCGGACCCAGTTGAGATGTCTGTGGGGTTGACTGTTGCTTCTGCTGTTAATTGCCCTTCCTCTTCCATTAGGGCAGAAACAAGAGTCCCGGATTCCTCACAAATGGATGTGGATGGGCTGTCACTGTGGCCTTCATCCTCAACATTGTCTCATCCCTTCTGAAAATGAGCTATCCATTTGTAAACCATTGATTTCCTGGGAGCATTGTCCCCATAAACTTTGCGTAAAGTATCAGTGATTTCACCATTCTCCCACTCAAGCTTCACCATACATCTGATGTTTGCTCTTGCTTTGATTTTAGCAGAATTCATGGTGCTCTGATAGAGTTGTTTTTTCTAATGTTTGAAATGAACTTGTATGTCCTTGAAGACTCCAAGCCTACTTCGGTTTTACTTTCCCTCCTTTTTCAGGCACTGCTAGGGGCTTTAAAAAATACTGCTGTCTCACCCTCCGTAGTACTTCAAACTGGATACTGTTCAGACATGGTATATCAAGTTAGCAAAGGTTTGTTTTGGCAAAAACATATTCATGCATGGCTTTAAAAATATGAATATTAAACTTTATTGATACTAATATTAAAAATTTACTGAAATCAAAGGTCATGATGTCCCCTACCCAATATCTCTGACAATTTATGCATTTTAAGAAGTTCCATAGTTTTTTTAAAAAAATACACATTTTTCCATTGACTTTTTGAAGACCCCTCATGTGCGTGGCGCGCGCCGCCGCACACATATATCTAAATGATCTGGTCAGACAAAGCTCTCACTTGGATCAGCCACTTAGTTCATTCTCTCCTCACCTGTGAGCGAGCGTGGTCTCAGGAAGGAGGCCCTCTTCGTTGAAGACAAAATAAGATATTTACCTGTTTCACACAGAGCTGCTATAGTTTGAGCCCAAACTTTTGACCCTTGGATGGAACAGGCCCTACTTCCTAGGGATATTGAGCGGTGGCTTCTGTGCTGCCTTGGTTCTGAAAGCTGTGCTGGCAGCATTTCAAGGACCAGCAGGGTCAGTCACGGGGACAGCTTCCAGACGAAGACGAACTAGGAAAAAAGCAAACCAAATCAAAGACCTGGTGAGCGCCTTCTGACAATTAGCTATTGAAAACCTTAAGGGGGCTGTAGCTGCCGCCGGTGCTCTCGCTGTGCCGCCCGCCCGCCGCTCGGCCGACTCGCCCCGCTGAGCTCACCCCACTCCTGCAGACATGTCCGAGACCATTCCCGGCCCCGAGTACGCCGCCTTTTTTGGCATCATGGGCGCTACGGCCGCCATGATCTTCAGCGCCCTGGGCGCCGCCTATGGCACTGCCAAGAGTGGCACGGGCATCGCAGCCATGTCGGTCATGCGGCCGGAGCTGATCATGAAGTCCATCATCCCTGTGGTCATGGCAGGCATCATCGCCATCTATGGCCTGGTGGTGGCTGTCCTCATCGCCAACTCCCTGAATGAGAAGATCACCCTGTACAAGTGAGTGCTGCCCCTGCTCAGCTCGTGAGGTGGGGGTGGGGTGGCTCCTGCCCCAGCCGCTAACCTCACCCTGTCTCTCCCTCTCCTGCCAACCCCTCCAGGAGTTTCCTGCAGCTGGGCGCCGGCCTGAGTGTGGGCCTGAGCGGGCTGGCGGCTGGCTTTGCCATCGGGATCGTGGGGGACGCCGGTGTGCGCGGCACAGCCCAGCAGCCCCGGCTCTTTGTGGGCATGATCCTGATCCTCATCTTCGCTGAGGTGCTGGGCCTCTACGGGCTCATCGTGGCCCTCATCCTGTCTACCAAGTAGCCCCTCACCGCGCCCAGCCGCCTCCGAATCCGATGTAAAGACCACCCCTTCTCATTCCAGAATGAACAGCCTGACACACGCCGGGGCCGCTGACCCCTCAGTAGCTGGTCTTGTAAATGCGCAGTGTCTTAGTGCCCATTGTCTGTGCCCGCCTTGCCCCGTGCCGTGGACGTCGGGGCCCACTCCTCCCTCTGCCCCAGTGAGGCGCAGCCCCAGAGTGCTCTGTGTATCAGGTTGACTAGACACGTCATTTTCTCTTCACTGGATGTTTTATTTATAAAGATTTGACCTGTTCATACGTCTGTGGAGCAGCCCTCGTCGCCCATTCTATAGCAACTTTAGGTAGTGTCCTGTGGGCTCCCGGTGGCTGACACTCACGTGATGTGACGTCCCCCGCTGGGGCCGCCCCGGGAGAGCTGTGCAGGGGGCCTGCGGCCCTTGAAATCGGTGTCCAATAAAGTTCTCAGATGTGAAAAAAAAAAAAAAAAAGAAAACCTTAAGGGTTCTATCGTTTCACTTGATCGCTTTGGACAAAGTCATTAGGAGATGTCAAGGGCTAGAGGGGGCCACTGCGTTTTGATGATGGAGAGAGTCAGCAAGGGCACAGGAGACTCTCGGTGAGATAAACTGGCGTACACCCCCATGGTGGGGCCAACTCAAGACCAGGCAAGGGTCCCTTGTGTTGTGCATAAGGTCACCTTGAGTCAGGGTCTAGTCAATGGCACCTCACACTGGAAGGATCATGAGATAATATGATGGGATATCGGGTGGTAAGCACAGTGCCTGACATATAAGAAATACCAAGCATGTGCTAGCTATTATGTTTAGGTAATCAAAAGGAGGAAAAGACTGCCGAGGGAGTGAATGAACAACTAAGTCCAAGGGTGCGTGAGCCATTGGCAAGAGTACTAACACTAGCAGTTGTGAGATCAGCCGAGCGCCGTGCTCTCTGCTCACCTGCTGAAATCCGTGCCCATTCATCCTCCACCCAGACTCGTACTTTCCCCAGAAGGAGCCTGCGCCGGCCCGGCACACAGATTCCTTGGCTGTGTTTCTTTGACAGTTATAACTGAGGAATTCAGCTTATTTTGGGCAAAATCCCTGGAAGTCCAAGTTCAGATCTCAATCTGAGCAATGCAGCCACATTTTCCAATGAGTTACTCCCTCCAATATAACTCCTGGCAAGAGACCCTCTGAGTGCTGAGAGAATGTGCCGTCATGTATGGTAAATAGTCAGACCACTGCGTGGGGCTTGACTCATGTGTCCGAGAAGGGGTATTTTGAAAGCCTGACCTCATGTGTCAACATGTGTTTGCACATACCTTTGGTCAGATACAAAGTTTCCGTTCCCAATTTAGCGCCTCCAAATTCCGGCCCCCCTAAATGAAAGCTAGGAAGAGAGATGGTGAAACTTTTAAGAGCTCCAGCCAGGTATGTACCAGGGGAGCCCATCTATCTACAAGTCAAATTCTTGTTGACTCTGGACTTAGTATAGGACGGAGACAGAGGAGGCAAGCACCGCAATGATAACAGCTGCCAGTTAGGGGGAGTTACTCTGTCCACTGCGTCAATCTAGTTCAGTGAGGGTTTTCCTGTGTCTCATTGACTTTCTACTTTCCCAGGTGTGCCCTAATTTGAAGCCTAGACACCCACCTGGTTTGAGCCCTTCCCGTGGTTCTGTGGGCGAAAGACATGGCTATTTGCTTCCATAAAGATCACAGCTAAGAAAACTCAATGGAGCATGGGGTCACTGTGATTTGTATGTATGCTATGCATTATACATGTTGTGGTCAGGTGCCTTTGAGCAGGTTCTGATTCATAGTGACCTCGTGGTCAACAGAATGAGATGCTGTCCGGTCCAGGGGGATCCAAATAAATTGTTATATTTGAGCCTATTGTTGCAGCCACGGTGTCAATCCATATTCTTTAGGGTCTTCCTTTTTGGTTATGATGCTATGCTTTAGCAAGCATGGTGACCTTCTCTAGACACTGGGACCTCCTGATAATATGTCGGAAGTACATGAGAAGAAGGTTGGTCATCCTCACTTCTAGAGAACATTCTTAGCTGTACGCCTTCTGCCTTCCAAAACAGACTCGTCTGTTCTTCTGACAGCCCCCAGTTTGTCCAGTATTCAGTGCCAACGTGTCCGTTCCCCTCCAGTCCTCCTGATTTGGGGGCCAGCTTTTGCAGAACTATGAGATGACTGAACATAAAGACTGTCACGTCGGTCAGGTTCACTGTAGTCCTCAAAGGTACATTTTGTTCTTGGGCAGCATTCATCTGTCAGTTTATTATCCCATGGTAGCCTGAATGTTGCTGCGATGCTGAAAATGATGCCCCTGGTATTTCAAATCCCAGCAGGGTCATCTGTGATAGACAGGTGTCACTAGTGCTTCCAGACTAAGATGAACAGGAAGAAGAAAAAGCTCACTTCTGAAAAATTAGTCCGTGAAAATCTTTGGAATCTATTATAGAGCAAAAAAAAAAAATCAAAATTCGCTGCCATCAAGTCAATGTAACTCATAGTGACCCCCCCAAGACGGTAACCGTTTATAGGAGTAGAAAGCCGAGTCTTCTCCCATGGAGCTACTGGTGGTTACGACCCGATGGATCACAGCCTAACAATGCATAACCACTACACCACCGGGATCCATTGCAGTTTGGTTGATTTGTGAATCTATAGCCTCATCTCTTTGTTTTGTGCAATCTATTTCTGGATGAAACCAGGTTCTGGGTCCTGTGGTGTGTGTCACAGTCAGGATTTCTCTGACAGCATTCCTCTGGGAGAGTTTAACATGCTCCTCTGGCCTCTGAATTTGCTGGAACTTGGTAGTTGGATCCAGAAGCTTAGTTAGTTAGGGTGAACACTTAAAAATAGCTTGATTTTATTGGGAAGACTTTCTAGGAATCAACGGCTGGCCAAAACCTGCCAATACATTTTCTTATTTGATCCCTTGAACAATCCCATGGAGTCTGGGTTAACGTCATCACCATCTTACAGATGAAAACCCTGAGGCCTGGAGAGGTCATGTAACTTGGCCAAGGTCACGTAGTTTGTAAGTGATACAAACAACAACCAGCCAACCAACCAAACTCACTGCCATTGAGTTGATTCTGACTCATAGAAACCCTATAGACCAGGGCAGAATTTCTCCCGTGGGTTTCCGAGACTGTCAATCTTTAATGGGAGTAGAAAACTTCATCTCTTTCACATGGAATAGCTGGTGGTCTCAAACTGCTGACCTTGTGGTTAGCAGCCCGATGTGTAACCCACTCTGCCACCAGAGCCCCCAGTTTTAAGTAATAGGGTCAATTTAATTGAGTGCCCAGTCTGGTTGTTTATTCCTGGTACCATATTGGCTGCTATGGAAGGTAACCAATGTGCCCATGATCATCATGACTCCCCCATGCCCCTTCAAGGTTCTCTTGCTAGCCTAGACAAAGACATGCTCTTAAACGTGTATAGGGATCTGCTTGCATATCAAAGTGGACCTTTCTATGTAGGGGTTGTTTGCATGGCCTATTTGTGACGATAACTCCTAGTTCGTAGTGCTCCTCGGTCCTATTCTTTCATTACTTTAAGAGTCTGGCATGATTTCTTCTGCAGGCTCTGTGTTCTTCGTGTGTTGTTTCAAATCTCCAAGCCAAGAGCAGCACTCATTCGTATACATCTTTGGAAAATCATGAAAGAGCACTAGGAACCTCCTGTGAGAGGCTGTATATTACTGATTCTGTGGAAAGGGCAATGACAATGACGATGACGATGACTTTATCATTATTAGTAATGAGAAAGAAGACCACTTCCTGGCAGCTCATTTTGTGCTTGACACTGTGTGAAAACCTAAGCAAGGAAGAGATGGCTTCAAAGCATTTGTGGGAGAAGTGGAAGGAAAAGATGATGGAATTTCCCCACAATCTTAAAGCTGCCTTCATATGATTTCGCTATGTTTGACCCTTGGAGCCATGTCCCTACAAAATAGGTACCGGTCTTCCTACCTTCCTCAGACCAGGAAACTCAGTGTCAGCTGGGTGAAGGAACTTGCCTGGTGCCACACACAATGTTTTCAGCATGAAAAGCCTCCTGGGATAAAAATAGCTTTCAAGAATACCATGGACTGGGGTTTTCAAAACAACCTCAAATGAGATGCCCACACACCTTTTTGTTGGAAGAATCACATCTATTTTCAGCAAATCCAGGGCAATTTCTTGATTTTGCTCTCTCCAGCTGGTGTGTAGGATTGACGTGAAGAAAAGCTCCCAGCCCTGGCACCTCAAAGATGCGGCAGCCACATGCTGCACCCCAGGACAACCAAGCCCCAAGCAACCTAAATAAACCTACTGCCATGGGGCCCACCCCTACTCATGGTGACCCACGGGACCCCACTGGCCCTTTTCAGAATTAATTAATTTAAAATATAGATATATAAATTGCCAGGGGAGCTCTGAATATTTACATATACTTATATATATGAGTACATATATATATATTCAGAGCCCCCTTAAGTGTATATATATATTTTTTTTTTCAGCGCCCCCTTGGCAATTAAAAACTTTGTGCTATAGCTGGTAATCCAGGATAAAGTGTAGGTATCTGCTTTTGCAGCCTCCCTGGTTAGGTCCAGTGTCCCCTAGGGGACAAAATCACCCACTCTGGGAAACATCACACAGAGTTTCAGAGACTGTAAATCTTCGTGCAGACAGCCTCATCTTTCTCCTGCAGAAAGCTGATGGGTTTGAACCACCAACCTTGCCATTAGAAGGCTAACCCACAGCCCCACCAGGACTCAGGGAAAAACTCACAGCCTCAGCACCAACATTGGTGCTATTTTCTCACCAGGCTTATTCCATGAGGGACCAGCAGAGGCTCTGAGACCAACGACGCTGACTTTATTTGTACCGATGCATGTGCATTGTGATACCGGCGAAGATTATTGAAAGTACCATGGACTGCCAAAAGAACAAACAAATCTGTGTTGGAAGAAGTACAGCCAGAGTGCCCCTCAGAGGAAGGATGGAGAGACTTTGTCTCATATACTTTGGACATGCTGTCAGGAGAACATGCACGGTAAAGTAGAGGGGCAGCGAAAAAGGGGGAAGCCCTCGATGAGACGGATTGACCCAGTGGCTTCAACCATGGGGCTCAAGCACAGGAACAATTGTGGGGATTGGGCAGTGTTTGTTCTGTTGTGCATGGGTCGGAACCAATTCAATGGCACCTAACAACAACAACAACAACAACAACCAGATTCAGACTCCCTGAAACTTTGTCTGCAATGTTTGACTCCTCTTTCCA